TTTTATTTTATATTTTTACGGAGTTGTGGTCACGGCTGTGATAAAGACCAACCAGAGAGTAGTACTGTGCCTCTAGTTAAATCAGGTTATAGTATCATCAGTGACTGCGGAAGAGGTTGTAAATAACTTAGTGAATACAAACTGGCAAGCAAGCTGGAAAGGCACCACTGCCAGCTGAAACCAAGTCGTGTTATGTGCCACAGAGATTTTAAATTTTATTTTGTTTGTGCACTTTCTCATGGACTGAATCTGTGCCTACAATACACCATTCACAGGGAGATACAGTGTACACATTGATAGCACAAAGAGATATAGTCGTCGATGAGAACGGGAAAAGAAAGTATAAGGAAATGCTAGTTAAAATAAAAAAAATTAAAAAATCAACAAGCTTGGCTATCCTTAAAGGCATTCTATTACTGACCCAAAGATAGTTTTATTTTATTTCTCTGTGTTTCTAAAGGTCTGAGTGGGTGTATAAAATCCATTATTCATAGCAAAATGCAGTGAACATAGAGATGGCACATAAATACTGGCAAAGTGAACTGAAAAGAAAAAAACAGAAGACAACTGTAAAGGCAACAGGGGAGGTTTAAGGCCAGCAGAGGGCAGCTAAGTACTGTTCTTTTTTCTTTCATTCTAATTATTTTTAAATAGGTGTAGATCTATATACAGTCTGCCACCCCTAACAACCATGAGTATGATCTGTGATGACTGTAGGGGGGGGGGGGGGATACAGGCCTGACTAATGCAACGTTTAGGATGATGCAAACTGCCATAAAGCATGAAGGCTGTTGCTGGTATTGCCCTGACTGCGTAGTCAAGGTGAATGAGGCTATTGCAAGCCATAGGGAAACGAGTTTCCTAGGGACGAAAATAGATGAAGCTGGAGCCTTTCTGGTTGCCAAACTGGAGCAAGTTGGGAGAGATCCTTGCTAAGACTGAGGGAGTAGCCGACAGAATGGAGGTGGTTGCAAAGAGGAATTATGCTGACGTATTAGGAGGGCCACGGGGGGGGGGGAGAGGTAATGCAGGATCAGAACAGGTTCTACAACAGCTAGGGACTCTAAAGAAGTGTGTCGAAGAAATGAAAATTAATGGACCTACTGTTAAAGAACATAAGAAAATAAGGAGTCTGCAATAGGCCGAGAGTCGAGAGTTACTACCACTCTCTATCATCCATGAATCTATCTTGCCTCCTTTTAAAACTCTCCAGCGTTCCAGCACTTACTACAAAGTTGGTAAGCTTGTTCCACTCGTCCACCACCCTATTTGTGAGCCAGTTCCTTCCCATCTCCCTCCTAAACCTAAACTTAGGGGAGAGGAGGAACAACGCGAACGTCTCCAGTGCAGGAACGATGTAATAGTTTTTGGAGTCCCTGAGAGCCAGGCAGAGGGATCTGAGAGTAAGATAACACACAATAAGATGCAGTTTAAGAATACGTATTTGTACAGAGGTTCTGAAGATGCCATCAACCCCTCAGGATGTGAGGGGTTGGGACAAAAGCAAGGGGACAAGCCTCACCCCCTCAGGATCACACTAGTGAGTGAGGAGGAGAAATGGCGGGTTATTCGGCAGGCAAAAAACTTAGCAAGGAGCGAGGCATCTCGGGGTGTATTCATTCACCCAGATCGCACGGTAATGCAGAGGGAACAGCACAGGAAGCTCCTGCAGGACTTGAAGCAGAAGAAGGAGGACTTTAACTGTGGCGACATCAACTGGAGAAATAAGTTCATCCCAAATGACTTGAATAACCCTGCTACTCTTTTTGTATTAACTCTGAGAGATAATTTTCTATTCCAACATGTTAGAGACCCGACACATTACAGAGGGGAGCAAACACCCAAGCCACTTGACCTCATCATAACAAACAAGGAGGGTATGGTGGCCAAACTGGAACACCTTGCCCCAGTTGGCACCAGTCACCATATAGTGTTGTCATTCAGATTTAACTGTTACCTAGTTCAGGATAAGGCCAGGCCAAGGTGCAAATATTACAAGGGAAATTACAACGGGATGAGGGAAGAGATGAGGGGTATCCATTGGCCTGACTCATTAAGGTGTAGTGGATTTCTCCCCTACAAATGCTGTTTGTCGCTGAGTAGCCGACCCCACGAATTCCCTAGTGTATGCCTCGTGGTCTAGGTCAACCAGCGCCGCCATACATCACGGAGCGGGGATCAACTACTAAGCCACGCCTACCCCCCGCTATTTAAGACCTGACCTCGTGGTGACCTGTCTCTTTCTACCTACACCAACCAGCCAGGAACACCTCCTCCGCCGCTACCTGGTGGCCCTCACTCCTCCTCCGCCTGCCTGGTGGTCCTCGCTCCCGCTGGCGAGCATGGCGACCCACAGGCTGGTCCTCCTCTGAGCATCCTCACCAACCAGCTCTCTCTACATCACGCTTGTAACCATGCTGCCTTCCCAGCACCAAGCTGCATTGTACATCCAATACAACATGTATATAGAGAGCACATTGTGAGTTTCCTTTCTCCATCCCATCCTGAGTGTGAACACAAACATCCTGAACCCCACAAAGGCACAAGAACGCAGACACGACGCTGAATATCATAACTAGTAAAGTGATCCATATGATCGATAAATATATACCCAAGACCAAACCCAGTGCTTCTAGGAATACGAGGGGATCCCTACACATGAACCATGCGGCGGTCGACAAAGTTAAGAAGAAAACCCAGAAATTCAAGACGTGGGTTGGGTCAAATGATGAGCAGGACAGGAGGATGTATGCAAGAGCCAGAAACCAAGTAAAGATAGAGTGTAGAAGGGCTGAAAAGGAGTTCCAGAGGCTGGTTGCAAGCGAGGTCAAGTCAAACCCAAAGGCGTTTTACTGCTATGCAGTCAAAATTAAAAACGCGAGTAGGAGTATGAGACCTGAGGCTTGAAGATGAGATAAGCAGTTGTAAACATAGGCCACACTATTGTTTTGTCCATAATCTACCAAAATACTCGAAATAATAATACCTAGCAGCTGATGGGCAGAACTACGACATAAATATTAAACTTTAATTATTTTGACATTTACAAAGTTTTTTTTTAAGGTCAAACTCAAGTACCCGGTACAGTGTTTGCTGTATTCTCTTCTCTGTTACAGTGTGTATAGCCGACTGTTCAGTATACAGTATATTAGCGAGGCAGATGATGGTGTTTAACAAAATATAACTCCACTTGTAATTTTATTAGAGAATTTATATTAAGTGAGCTAATACATACTGTATATCGTCATTTATATCTACAGGGTAATAATATATTTATGTGTTGGTTGACTGTATTACACTCTACAGGATGTTATACAATGATCTGGTTCATAAAATACAATTGGCTTGTTAATATATAGTTGAGATAATATATTAGGTGAAGCTTGTACCGTTGGCCATAGTGTGTTACCTCTAAGTTATTATAACCACTTTAGGCAGGATATTACACATTTGTTCAACCTAACAAGAAAAAGAGATTCTCAGGGTAAAATATATTTGAGGAAATAATGTTTAGAGTTTACTGGTGTGTGGAAAGTTGCCTCAACGGTTAGTTAAGAACATTATTGGAACCAATTGGTGGCCAGGGCCACTCAGTGAGCCTCACCTACACTTACACAAGTTAGTTAATATGACACTAAAAATAATGACGGCCAGATAAGGTAAGATACTGTGTACTGTAGGTTGCTGTACTTAGTGATATTATAAAGATTATCTTTTGGCGGCTAGATAAGATATATAATGATATTTAACTTATTTGTTATATAGATGTGTTAAACAGTTTTTTTTGGTTCAGATTTGCACTAATAAAATATATTAGATTTTGATACGATGCTTGTGGCTTGGCTCCTTCAGGCAGCCATGATAAGTCATAGTGAGAGCACTAAATAAAATAAAATCATATATAAAATAAAGTTTTTGAGATAATTAAGACAGAATGTTGACGTAGTATGCAATATGTTAGTAGGCCACAGCTGGCACCTCCAGTGAAACTTTGTCGTTATTTATGACTGTGTGCAGTAGAAATCATTTAGACTAATGTATATATACGTAATGGGTATATTTGTTGAACACAATGTAATAAATTCTCTCCAAAAAGTCGCTAAAAGGGGTAGAATGGTATATTAATTGATTTATTACGCTGTGGGAGGGGGCCAGTGTTACCAGACACGAGTGGCTCACGCCCAGTTGTGGGGGGAGAATAATGGGCAGTAATATTCATTGGCTAGTTTCATGTTAAGACGCCTGCCAATTTAATAAAACAGAAAAAGTAAATTCTAATAGGTAGTAGAGGCTGAGTGGACTCTACTTCATAAGCCAGCCCATTTAGACCAACAAGTGGGTATTCTTGTTAACTTCCAAGCTGGTTTTGTAAAGATGATGATGATGGCGCCTTAACAGTACTACATGATAAACATCACCTCAACTTGGCCAGTGTGTGCTGAGTGCCTGGTTAAACCGGGAATGATTTTAGGAAATATCTTCATACTGTTAGAGACCGTTGACTGGCAGAAGAGGAAGGCCTCGGGTAGTTACAAGTCTCGACAGCGGCTGCCCGACCACAGTGACAGTACTGTACTGTAGTGTGGTGTGGGCTGATACCATTAGTGTTGTACTGTACACCATTCCACACCACGGCTGGACTCGGTCATTGAACCATTGTTATTTATGGTTTATATTAACACACTAAGTTGATCTCTGGGAACGTTAAAATTAATTTCTTCTGCTATTCTTAGTTAAGTGAGAAATGCCGTAATAGATACAAGTCATTATCCCCTTAAATTATCCATAAATCTCTAAGTGTAAGCCGTAGGCCTCTCATTGTGGCACCCAGTAACATAAGAGGAGCGGCATAAGAGTTTACTATACAGTTATAACAACTTAAAATCAGTATTAACACCAAGGAAACCTTCTGGCTATTTTAGACGTGCTTCTGGCTATTTTCGACGTGCTTCTGGGTAATGCGGCTATTTTTTCATATAGGGCTAGTGTTGGCGTGGAGAGACGAGAGGGAGGTGGCAACAGTGGCAAGGGAGACGTGAAGTAAACAGTGCACGTGAGAGGTGTGTCAAGCCTCTGCTGGATAATTGACCTTTATTTAAGTGTGATGGCAGGTGTGTAATGATGTACAGGTGGTGGCAAGAGGCGTGTTAGTGGCCCATGTGAACCACAACCAACACACATCAACCATAAACTTAATAAACTGTGGAGACTAAAACACGTAGGTAAGTCTTAACTATGTCACAAACATAATGTTATTGTATTACCAATTTATAATTATCTTTCATAACTACTGCTGTTAAATGACTTAATTAGACAGTGATGATGATTAATAAGGTTTAAATATGACGTAGAGACTGTAGTAGGTAAGGTTTGGTGAGGTAATAATATTGAAGGTCTTCGTCTTGCTAACATTTCCTAGTTTTTTCTTCGTTTATTTTAAGTGACTTTATTATTCAAGAAAATGACGTCTATATTGTACTGAGACTCTGCCTGGTCCTTTTTTATAGATATATATCACACACAAATATATTAGCTCTGGAACTAATAAGTGGCTGGGCTGAAGATGAGAGTATATTGTACCTTCTCTGCTAGGGGAAATGTCTTAGTGCACGTACATAGGAGAACACTTAAGTGAGGTGTTCACTGGGTAACAAAAAATATGAGTGATCTCTCCCTTGTCTCTATATCAAGAGAGAGATGAGCAGGCCAGGTCTGTTATGACTTGGCTGACTTTGCCTGCCCTCTAGGGTGTGAGAAAGGAAACATGTCAGATATACTGTTGTGCTAACATGAGCTGACCTCGGCCACACCTCGCTCGTGCCCCGAAGGAACTACAACCTCAGCCATGTATAATGCCAACAGCTGAGGCACAGTTGAATAATTTGGCATTATACATTTTTGTAAATATTTATACGTAAAAATGCAAATGGTGCTGTTACACCGGCAGGTAAACCTAAAACAAATAATAAACCTCAAAATAAATCATTAACTATGGTGTAACAACCTGACCTAACCAAAGAAACCTAACGGAACCTAACTTTATGTCTAATATGGGGGTCCGACTAATTACCCAAATGTAGCCGCAATGAAGTCAAATAATGGTTTTAATTAAGTTTTCCATTTTTTTTTACTTTGTGACACCAAATACTAGTCGAGAAGTGATTGGCAGTCCGATTTATTCATGTAGGACCATTATTTGACTTCATTGCGGCTACAATTGGGTACATTTGGGTAATTAGTCGAACCGCTAATATGGTTACCCTATGCCAGGAAGTCAGGTAAGGTCAGGTCGGTGGTTAATATTAGTTTAATGGTTACGGCGAGAATTTCGTATTTGGTTATTTAAGATGAATTATTGTTTGGATAGGTTTCAACAGTGATTTGGAAGGCGTGTGCCCATTTCGTCACTGCGTTTGTTCCCATCACCATTTCAAGGCTTTGGACCTTCATAATGTGTTCACTGAAGCAGTGAAGACATAATGGCTGGTTTCCTATCTTTGTCTACATACTGTTATGGTTTTCATTTTGTGCAGACGTAGAGTCTACTGCTAGTGTAGGAACGTCGTGTACAATGGTGGGAAGCAAGTCAGGGCTCACCTTTTTTAATATATCCACGTATACTACGTCGGTAATTTGAGTATCTGGTTTAAGTATTTTGAATTTGTTACCGTGCTCTTTGGCAATTATGAGGAAGGGTCCTGAAAATGTCGGCGAAAGTTTAGAGATTCTTTCAGGTTCTCTTATCATGACAGCATCGCCTATTTTAAGCTTAATAGGCTTAGCATGTTTATGTTGTGTGTAAATCATTTCAGCGCGCGATGCTGCTAATTGTTTACGCACTTTTCCATGGATGTCAATGAAGGTATTTATTTGCTTCTTTGCATAATCATCCATGTTATATACAGGTTGTGTAGGTCTTGTAATATGTCATAGGGTAACCTTTTATCGGCCCCATATATGATATAGTAGGGTGCTTTGCCTGTGAAGCTATTTATTGACCCATTTATTGATGCTGCTTCTTGAGGTAACCAATCCTCCCATGCTACCTGCATTGGCTTCACTATATGTCTGAGTACAATACTGTATTAACGTGTCCAGTCAACTTTTTTCAATAACAGTGTGAAGTGTGTGTGACATCCAAACTGCAAGATTCTGGATGAGTTGAGGTTTATTTCCAAGCAGCTTCCCTCCCGTGGTGTGAATAAATAATTCCCCTGGTGTTCCCTTCCTGTCTGCTTACCATGTTGGCCCACAAACTTTCAATGGGGTTCATATTGGCCCTCTTACTAGGCCAATCTGGCAGCTTCAGGTTGTCTTGGCTAGCAAACCATTCCGGCAGTGTCGTGTGGGGCCACGGGGGGAAGGAAGCTGTTGTGCAACTTTTCAATATACTGTACTGTATTTTTGTGCAGTGAATCGGCTTTTAATTTGGGTCTTGTTCCCTACACCATGAAGGGACATCCTCCCCCAAACACTGCCCGATGGTCACCTCCTCATAAATGTGTGTCTGGTCATATCTGCAGTCATCATGGTCAGTTTCTTGATTAATTAAATACCTAGTGGACATTAATGTTATAGGCAACTTGTTACTCTTGGTACTGTAATTATGTTAAGTGTTATTGTTACTAGTTTTATTATGTAGAGTACTGTATACTTCCTGTCTGTCTGTCTGGGTGAGATATAATGCCTTAACACTCCAGTATAAGTCAAGTGTTAGACTTATAGTATTGTTGAGGACACAAAAACATGGTTCTTGAATACTGTTGTTGTGAGGTGAGGGGGTCCTGGCAGCTGCACTTGTGTGAGCATCTAGGTGAGGGGGTCCTGGCAGCTGCACTTGTGTGAGCATCTAGGTGAGGGGGTCCTGGCAGCTGCACTTGTGTGAACATCTAGGTGAGGGGGTCCTGGCAGCTGCACTTGTGTGAACATCTAGGTGAGGGGGTCCTGGCAGCTGCACTTGTGTGAACATCTAGGTGAGGGGGTCCTGGCAGCTGCACTTGTGTGAGCATCTAGGTGAGGGGGTCCTGGCAGCTGCACTTGGCGTGGCACATCTGGGTGAGGGGTCCTGGCAGCTACACTTGTGTGAACATCTAGGTGAGGGTCTGGCAGCTGCACTGTGTGGTCTGTCAGGTGAGGGTCCTGGCAGCTGCACTGTGGTGTCATGGGGTCCTGGCAGCTGCAGTGAATCAGTGGGGTCTGGCGGCTGCGCGTGTCTGGGTGAGCATCATCTGGTGAGGGTCCTGGCAGCTGCACTTGTGGACATCTAGGTGTCTGCAGCTGCACTGTGTGAGCATCTGGGTGGGGTCCTGGCAGCTGCACTTGCATGTGAACATCTGGGTGAGCTGCGGTGAACATCCCTGGCAGCTGCGTGTGAACATCTAGGTGAGGGGGTCCTGGCAGGTGAGGGGGTCCTGGCATGCACTGTGTGTGGAGACATCCAGGTGAGGGGTCCTGGCAGCTGCACTGTGTGAACATCTAGGTGAGGGGGTCCAACAGCTGCCTTGTGTGAACATCTGGTGAGGGGTCCTGGCAGCTGCATGTGTGAACATCTAGGTGAGGGGGTCCTGGCAGCTGCACTGTGTGGAGCATCTAGGTGAGGGGGTCCTGGCAGCTGCACTTGTGTGAGCATCTAGGTGAGGGGGTCCTGGCAGCTGCACTTGTGTGAACATCTAGGTGAGGGGGTCCTGGCAGCTGCACTTGTGTGAACATCTAGGTGAGGGGGTCCTGGCAGCTGCACTTGTGTGAACATCTAGGTGAGGGGGTCCTGGCAGCTGCACTTGTGTGAGCATCTAGGTGAGGGGGTCCTGGCAGCTGCACTTGTGTCCACACTGGACATATCACTTAACCCAAGGTATTTTTTTACTTGCTTTTGTTTATAACACTATTGTTTTATATTATACAATCTATTTATTATGTATTATTAACATTGTTGCCATTATTATTACAATATTATTAATGCATTTACTTTGTATTACAAGGATATGAATATACTGTATGTATAGTATAGTATAGTTAGTGTTTTAAAGAATATATTAAAAACACAAGTAAATAATATGTCGTGGTGAGATGCTCAGTGATATGGACTATTGGTTGATTAGCTGCCATGGTGGTACAGTACTGTACTGCACAGTGGGTGTACAGTACAACATCTTGTGGGTGTACAGTACTGACAACATTAAGACCTTAGATGTACTCTAGCTAGTCACATAACTGGCAGCAACAGCTTGGTACAGTACATTGTGAAGGCTGAGTTATTGGGTCAATATTTTTGCCTTTAACTTCAGATGTTTGTACAGTCCTGTATATGGTGAGTCATGGAGGGCAGCAGTAGTGTGTTAAAGGGCAGCAGTACTGAAGTGTTTTATTGGGCAATGGCTTGGAATTATACCTTAATAATCCGAGAGAGAGAGAGAGCAGTAGTAGTAGTTGGGAAAGTTTATCTTGTCATATGTTATGACGTTGTGCGTCGTGTCATCATTGTTGACACATTTCCTGTAGCTGGTGCTGACTCACTCTCTCATGGACATTTATACCTACTGTACTCTCACCTACCTTAACCTAACCTAACCTAACCTAACCTAACCTAACCTACCTTAACCATAGTGTCAACACCACAAAGTCTCTTGAGTTATACGTACCATAGGGGCATAAAACACCCCTTAAGTCTTGGAACATGTAAGACAGTCGGTCGCTTTTTAGATAAGGTGAAGCCGTGTCGTCATTCAGGAAGACAGACGGAACTTTGACCATTTACCACTTATGATCGTACTGTACAGAAGGTCCCCGACTTACGAACGCCCGACTTACGAACGGGGTTAAACTTGAAATTTACAGTACAGTATTTTATTTACTTGGTGACTGCTTCTTTTACTTTACTGTATTTTGTCATTCAATTTCTTCTTATGTCTTAAATTAAGTTATTTTAAATGTATATAAACACTTAGGCTATGATATACAGTACAGTACTAACAAAACTGATCATTTAATTTACATGGCATTTATTTTATCACATTTCAACCCCATCTGTTATAGCTTCTCAAACAATTGGTCTTATTATCCTTATTTATCTGTTTCAGGATTACTGTACACCTCCAGAATTATGAGACATATTTCTGTACACCTCCAGAATTATGAGACATATTTCTGTACACCTCCAGAATTATGAGACATATTTCTGTAGACCTCCAGAATTATGAGACATATTTCTGTACACCTCCAGAATTATGAGACATATTTCTGCACACCTCCAGAATTATGAGACATATTTCTGTAGACCTCCAGAATTATGAGACATATTTCTGTAGAATTATGAGACATATTTCTGTACACAGAATTATGAGACATATTTCTGTACACATATTTCTGTACACCTCCAGAATTATGAGACATATTTCTGTACACCTCCAGAATTATGAGACATATTTCTGTACACCTCCAGAATTATGAGACATATTTCTGTAGACCTCCAGAATTATGAGACATATTTCTGTACACCTCCAGAATTATGAGACATATTTCTGTACACCTCCAGAATTATGAGACATATTTCTGAAGCACCTTGTATAGCCATCACTGCAAGGGTTGGTTGGCTGGTTTCATAACTTTTCTGCCTGTAATATCCCACCATTTGATACAGTTGGTGCACATGGCTGGATGGTATACATGAGTGGGTGGTGTACATGACTGGTTGGTACACATGGGTGGGTGGTGCTTATGGTTGGGTGGTGTAGTTACAGTCGACCAAGATCCAGCAACACCACCCTGGGTCTCGTACTGGTCATGTTACCCGACAATACTTGGTAAAGTAAGGCTGTACAGTATGTATAGGTGGTTGGTGGATCTGTTTTGGGCTGTATCACTGTCACGATAAATATTAAACAATCCAAAGGTAACATTTATATAATAATAAACTAGTCATTGTTATTTTAGAGCATGTCAAGCAGCTAACAAGCCAAACAGTGGTGAAGAGGATAAAAGTAAAAACAAAAAAAACAAGACAATTATATTAATTAGCAACTGGACCACAACCACAGCTGCCACAAGATTCTCACGTCAAATTTTCTTCATTATTTAAACAAATTTATGAACATTTGGAAACTTCTCATGATTTAAAATAACAATGACTAGTTTATTATTATATAAATGTTACATATGGATTGCTTAATATTTATCCTGACAGTGATACAGCCCAAAACAGAGCCACCCATCACCCATACATACAGCCTTACTTTACCAAGTATTGTCGGGTAACATTACCAGTACGAGACCCAGGGTGTTGGATCCTGGTCGACTGCACCTGGCTGGATGGTGTACACGTGTCAGGCTCTACACTGTCTCCCAGTTGACGGGAAAGAGTATTAATGTAGGTGTGTGTAGCCCAGCACCATCAGACACACACACATAAGATGTGTGTACATGAATCACCACAGTGTGTATGATGTATTAATAGTTGTGATGGTATTCTTAACTTTTCCTAATATATGACCTTTTAGTTTTTCTGTAATAATAAAGTGATTTACGTGTATTTTTTTTATAAACTTATTAGTGGGTGTTAAGTGTAGCAAGTGTCTAGTGGTGTCATCATAGTTTAGCTGTTGTAGTTGTTATTATTATCATTATTATTATTATTATTATCAGAGAGAGAGAGAGTAATTGGTTTTGTTTGGCAGATAAGAGAATTGTATTGATAAGCTTAAATGTTGTTCTATTAACTGACTGTAACTTAACTGGTACCACTCACCAATACCTACAACAGTTACCTCTTGTCATAAAGTAACAGTATGGCACTGTGGAGGATAATTATGCTGTGCCATTATTATACTTACGGCACCTTTAACAATATTGTGGCCTGGCGTAACACCCCCCCCCCATGCAGATAAATATGGCGACTGATATATTTATCATGTTTTAACGGATGTGTAAAATGTGGGATGGTTTAACATTGTGGGTTGGTTAAAAGGTTTAACAGCAGCAGCAGGATGTAACCTTGGTGTGCATTTATATATAGCACACTTCACTGGGCTCTGTTGTTTAAGCTGTAGTTGTGGTTATTGTGGGGGACTGTTGTGGTTATTGTGGGGAACTGTTGTGGTTATTGTGGGGGACTGTTGTGGTTATTGTGGGGGACTGTTGTGGACTGTTGTGGTTTGTGGGGACTGTTGTGGTTGTGTGGGGGACTGTTGTGGTTATTGTGGGGACTGTTGTGGGACTGTTGTGGTTATTGTGGGGACTGTTGTGGCTGTTGTGGTTATTTGTGGGGAACTGTTGTATACTGTTACTTCATTGTGGGACTGTATTGTGGGGACACTGTGGGGGACTGTTGTGGTTTGTGGGGGACTGTTGTGGTTATTGTGGGGACTGTTGTGGTTGTTGTGGGGACTGTTGTGGTTATTGTGGGGGACTGTTGTGGTTGTGTGGGGGTGGTTATTGTGGGGGACTGTTGTGGTTGTGTGTGACTGTTGTGGTTATTGTGGGGGACTGTTGTGGTTATTTGTGGGGGACTGTTGTGGTTATTGTGGGGGGACTGTTGTGGTTGTGTGGGGACTGTTGTGGCTGTTGTGGTTGGTTGTGGGGACTGTTGTGGTTATTGGGGGAACTGTTGTGGTTGTCTGTGGGACTGTTGTGGTTACTGTTGTGGTTACTGTTGTGGTTGTGTGGGTGACTGTTGTGGTTATTGTGGGTGACTGTTGTGGTTATTGTGGGACTGTTGTGACTGTTTGTGGTTATTGTGGACTGTTGTGGTTACTGTTGTGGTTATTGTGGACTGTTGTGTTTCTGTTGTGGTTATTGGGACTGTTGTGGTTATTGTGGAGGACTGTTGTGGTTATTGTGGGGGACTGTTGTGGTTATTGTGGGGGACTGTAGTTGAAAATATTGTGTTGTACATATCAAGTTTATGGTACATAATAGTGTTACAGTCTGGTGTATATTTACAGGGTATGTGTTTGTTACATAAAGTGTTACAGTACTGTACATAATAGTGTTACAGTACTGTACATAATAGTGTTACAGTACTGTACATAATAGTGTTAAAGTACGGTACACAGTTAACGAGGTAAGCTCCACCATTTACGTAGTTTAGTCTAATTATAACCGTGATGTCAGACACTGCAGGTTACAGCCGCCTTACAGTATTTACTAACTGGCAACTGTGCGCTCTTTGAGAGACAGTTGCCAGGTGTCGTGATGCACAGAACATTCCCTATTAGTCATCTTGGTAATTAAGTTAAGAGTTTTATTGATGCCATTTGGGAGATGTTTGAACACAGGTAAAGACGTTTTCTCTCACCTCCAGTTGGTAGAAAATGTCTGAGGCCTAACCTCTGAGAATCGTTTTCTTTTGAATTTATTAAAAAATAAAAAGGAAATATAGGGTGTCCATAAAGGATTACCTTAAAACAGTTCATGTTTTAATCAGG